TGTCAGAGCTGGGAGGGCCCTTAGGACACAGGATGTCAGAGCTGGGAAGGCCCTTAGAACACAGGATGTCAGAGCTGGGACTGACTTCTTAAAATACGTATTCTAACCCTCCCATTTTAGAGAGGATAAAACTGAGGCCCAGAGAGGCAATGTAATTTGCATCAGGTTACACACAGAACTAGTAACAAGGTCCAGAAGGACCCTTTGCTCTCAGTCTAACACTCACTTTGAACTTCTCAGGGACACATCCCATGCCTCCCTCACTCCCCTTCCCCCTATCCTACAGGCCAGGACTGGCCAAGGCTCCCCATTTCAGGGGGAAGGAACCTTCCAGAGGGAATACACGTCAATCCCAGGGAAGGAGCGAACACTAAGTAAGGTGCTGGAGTGAGAAGCTCAGAAAGAGGCTGCAGAGCTGGTGGAATTCTAAGGGCCAGCCCTGCCCTCTAGTGGTAAGAGAGAAAAATTACTTTATTGTAAAAACCCTGGGACGGGAGGAAGGAAAGGGGGAAGACCAGAGCCTCGTAGCTTTAGAGCCAGAAGACCTGAGACAGCGTCTGCCCCTCCCCCTTCCCTCCCCACCCCCAGCCCAATTTACAAATGAGGAACCTGAGCCCCAGGGAGCTAAAGCCTCTTGTCCCAGGGTCGCACAAGAGTGGAGTCAGGATGTGAACCCAGGTCTTCAGGCTTCATCTGGTGTTTTCTCCTGTATGCTTGAGGGTTCTGAGTGGGATGAAGAGAACACTAGACCGGGAGATGTAGGAGACCTAAGTTCTAGCCTCGCCTCTGCCAGGAACTTGCTGTCAATGTCAATGAGCCTCTCTCAGCCTCAGTTTCCTCTTCTGTAAAATGAGGGAGCTGGCCCAGGCCACCTCTCAGGTCCCTTCCAGCTCCAAGTACTATCTTCCTAAGTACTCCACGGGTCCTTGAGATCTTTCACGGTCTCATTTTAGGGAGGAGAAAAAATCAAGTGAGTCGTCCAGTTGTACCAGTGGTAGACAGGAGAGCAGGGACCTAGAGCCCTTGGTTCCAAATCCCACGTGTTTCCCACTACATCACTGAATGAGAGGATTGGGGGAGGGGGGGTGGGCCCAGGGATGCTTCGTTGTTCTCCAAATCAAGTTGGTTCTCCTGGGGTCTGGGGAGAGGGAGGGGGAAAGAACAGGGCTTTCAAGCCTGATGGGTGGGGAAGAGGTAGGCATGAAGGACCTCATCTGAAGCAGACCTTCTGGGAACAGCCAGGTCATCTCTGGAGAGAGCATCCCCTGTCCGTTAGAAAAGAAATCAGCGGGATGTTCCAGCTCACGCTCTGTTGTAGTGATAGCTAGAGTGAGGCCTCAGGCCCCTTCCTTAACGGCCTCTCTAGGAGGGGAATCTGGGTATAGTGAAAAGAACATTGGCCTGGGAGTCAGGACTCCTGGCTTCTAGGCTCCTCTCTGCCCCTAAGTTGCTGTTAGTGTCCCTTCCCTTCAGTGGGACCTGGGTTGGACTCAGGGAACTCCAAAGTCCTTTCCCATTCTAAAAACTCATTCCTATTATCATATGATCTTATTTTACAATGGAGGCTTAAAATGACAGAGCCAAGATTTGATCTCAGGTTTTCTGACTTTAAATCCAATTTTCTTCCCATTATACTTGCTGCCCAGTTATTTGGGGGGGGGTGTCTTTCTTTGTATCCCCAGCACTTAGCTAAGTATCTGGCACACAGCAGGTGCTTAATAAATGCTTATCGATTTCCCGAGGGAAGACAGGAGCATATTGTTGTGAGGGGCATCCGAGGGGCATCAGGACACACTAGCGGGCCGAGCCCCTCTTTAGTTCACCTTTCTGCCCCTCGATGCCAGCGCTCACACACAACGTGACAGCCATTCATCCAGCTGCCGCAGCCTGGCCTATCAGCAGCTCAGCACTGTCAGATTAAGGGAGATGAAGGTCCTGTCTCAGGAAAGGCACCTTCATTGAGGAAGCAGGAGTGCCTCCTCCCGCCGGCCGCAGATGGAGAGGGTCCCACCCCGATCAGGGGAAGGCCGGCCAAGCGTGCTCAGCCTCTTAGATCCGACCTGGAAAGGGAGAGCTGGGAGCAAGCTCTGGGGGGAGGTGGGAAAACATACTGCGCTGGTGCAGAAGAAAGAGCAGACATTACCTGGCCACAGACAATTCCCTCTGCCCATCAGTGTCAGGAGCCTTCATTTTAAGGCCCAGTTTCACTATTGTACATACCTTAAGAAAATCATATCAATTCTTCACATCTCAGTTTCCTGATTTGGAAAATATGGGGTTGAAATAGACGATCGGTAAGGCCTATACCACCTCCGACACCTTATGTTCTAAGGTCCTTCCTGGCTATAACATTCTATGTTCTAAAGGCCATTATAGCTCTGATATTATATGTTCTAAGACAGATTCCAATTCTGACATTCTATGCTCTCAAGTCACTTCCCACTCTGACTTTTCCATATTTTAAAGGTATCCCTCCCCAGTCTTACACTCTGTGTTCTCACGGCCCTCCTAACTCTGACATTCTGTGTTCTAAGGGTCCTTCCAGCTCTGACATTGTGTGTTCTAAGGGTCCTCCCAGCTCTGACATCACATAGTTCTGTGATTGTGAGTGAAATTATCTCTGGAATCTAAGGAATGATATTTTTAATCATTGACTAGAAAGCTTCCAAGGTCCAGTAGGCTGATTAAATTAGGTTAAAACATTGTCAGCTCACTAAAGTTATTTGATAGACAGACACATAGATACATAGATACAAAGTATATTTACTCCATGTATTTGCCATGGTAAAGTTTTGCTCTCCCTCACAACAAACGTTCAGTGCAGAATGATTCCCCAGAGAAAAGATCAGCACATGCCCCAGGGAGGCCACACCACCTCATTATAAAATTTCAAAGTTAGAAAGAAGCTCAGAGTGCACCTGGCCTGACCTTTCTCTGAAGCAGCAGAGCTAAGAAAGGTAAAACAGAAAGCTTGTCTTCCACAAGGTAAACAGATTTTCCTCTCTCCAAGTCCCAGTTTCTTTTAAGCAGAGAACTTAGTTGATATTCAAGACCCTTCACAGTTTTAATACTCTATACTCTAAGTTCTTCTCAGCTCTGACAATTTGTGTTCTAATACCCCCTCCCCTCAGCTCTGATATCCTGTGTTCTAAGGGCCCTCCCAGTTCTGACATTTCATGTTCTAAGGACCTTCCCAGCTCTCATATTCTGGGTTCTAAGGGCCCTCCCTGCTCTGTCATTCTGTGTTCTAAGGGCCCTCCCAGCTCTGACATCCTGTGTTCTAAGGGCCCTCCCAGCTCTGACATCCTGTGCTCTGAGGGCCCTTCCAGCTCTGACATTAGATGTTCTAATGCCTATCCAACCCCTGACATCCTATGTTCTAAGGTCCTTCCCGGCTCCAATATTCTACGTTCTAAGGCCCCTTCCAGTTCAGGTCCTTGACAAGTGTCAGTCATCCTCAGGAGAAAAGAGACAAGGGATGAATAGACCGGTTTCCAATTCTGGCCCAAAACAAAGGAGATCTCTCCTAAATACAGAGCAAGAAGATGGGAAGAAAGGAGAACTCACTCACAAGAGGCCACACTGGACACTCTGACCTCCCTCCCTACAGGCCCTCCTCTCTGCTTAGCTGATGGCTTCCAGCCATCGATCCCTGCTTCCCAACCTGTGACCCTTTCAGCGCCAAATGATAAGGGTCAGGTAACAGAGATCACAAAGGACCAAAAGTCTAGTCCAAAGGGCTGAAGGTCAGGCATGGAAATAGAAAAAAAGACACGGTTTCCATTGTGCTGAGTCCAATAAGGAGATGAGGGCAGACTAGGAACGGAAAAGTTAGAGCATCATTAGCGAGATCTCTGAGGATCTAAGCACAAATTTACATTCATACGCACACTCTGTCTGATGGTGAGTTTTTTTTTTCCCTCCCTCTTCCCCCCTTTAATTAAAAACTATAAATGCCTTATCAAAAGCTAATTAAAAATACCAACATACTGCCAAGTGGCACAAAAAAAAAAAAAAAAAAAAAAAAAAGCTCAGTACAAATATCCGTTTATAACCCTGCAGCAGGCCAGGATGACACAGCGATTAGAGCCGCAGCGGAGGGGAAAGGGAAGGTGCCAGGATCTATGGCCACCGTCCTCCCCATCGGAAGGATTGATCATCCTGCAGGCCAAGGCTCTGCGCTCGAGTGCTTGGCTCCCTCCTGGCACCGTCAGCCACTCGGACAAGCGTGAGGACTTCCGAGCCACCAGCACGACCCACTACCCAACACAGCAATCCCTTCCAGGGTGTCCGTGACAGCTGGTCAGCCTGCCGCCACCTCGAACGCCCCAGTGACAGGAGCTCAGGATTGCTGGAGGCAGCAGATTCCATCCTCAGATGGCTTTGGTTGTTAAAAAGTCCTGCCAGCCCTTGAGTCAAAATCTCCCTTCCTGCACCTGGGAGAGAAACCAAAAGAAATCCAGAATCCTGATGACAGGAGACCTTGAGGAGCTGCTGTCCTGGATAGTGTCTGGCAGGAGAATTTCTGCCTCCAATCCCCACCTCCCCTCCCAGCCCCAATAGCCCTGGGTACGGTGTTACATGGTAGAACCCAAGGGTTCTAAGAAGAGGCCTTAGAAATGATCCTATCCCATTCTCAAGTGAAGCACAGCATGAAACTTGGAATGACTGAACATCTACTGTCAGAGCTGGGAGTCCTTAGAACACAGGATGTCAGAGGTGGGAGTCTTTAGAACACAGGATGTCAGAGCTGGGAGGGCCCTTAGAGCTCAGGATGTCAGAGCTGGGAGTCTTTAGAATCCAGGATGTCAGAGCTGGGAGGGCCTTTAGAACATAGGATGTAAGAGCTGGGAGGTACCTTAGAACAGGGGATGTCAGAGCTGGGAGGGC